TTCCTTCCTTCCTTCCTTCCTTCCTTCCTTCCTTCCTTCCTTCCTTCCTTCCTTCCTTCCTTCCTTTATTTGTATTTATCTTACCAATTGTTTTGTATTTAAGAACCCACCCCCCAATATTAATTCTTTATCTACCAAACAGTGTGTCCATACATTTAGGGTCACATAATCTCAGTACTGATTAACATTACAAGTTAGCCATCTTTAACATTTGATTGACTTCTTAATATTTTTAAAATCACTATTAAATTAATATAGTAAACTATATTTTAGAATAGGTATAATGGGAGTAAAAAAGCACAAAAAAAGCACGTGTCTGGACAGTATTTTTTTCCTAGAAAATGTAATATATTTTCTTTTTCCTAGAGCCCAATACAAGGAGATACAGTTATGTGCTATCTTATTAAAAAAAAAAATATTGAATTAAATGGAAGGATTCTATGAATTATGGTTGCGGCTTACATTTCTTGAAAAATGGAACAGCTGAAACCTGGGTGCCATGCACTTCAATGTTTTTATCTAAACCTGAAAGAAATGAAAATTTACTCCAGCGAGATTTATATTAAATACATATCCTTAAAATCTTGGCCTTGATAAATGTAAATGAAAAGTCAGCGTCATCAAGATTTCTTTCACTTATGGTTTTATTGTTCTTATGCATTGTATTAGTCCACCACGGAAACACGTTGTGTACAGAAATACAGAATTTTTCCATCCACCGGTTCATAGCAACAACAGCAAGAAGAGACTGATTGAAGATACTGAGGACTGGCACCCAAGGACCGGAACCACTCAGTCACGTTCTTTCCGTATCCTTCAACAGATCACAGGCACTGAACGTAGTAAGTATTTAACGGAAGAAAATAAAACTCAGGGTTGAACTGTATAACTCAGGGGTGTCAAACTTGATTTCATTGAGGGCCGCATCACAGTTGTATTTGACCTTGGAGGCCATGGGGGCCTGGGCCGGGGTGTGTGTGTTGCCAGCTCAAGGTCACTTGTATCGGGGTTTCCTGTGATGGCCTGAGAGCTCTGCCAGCGAAAACGGGCTCCCGAGCTCCGTTTTCTACTGTGATAGCATCCTGCAGTTCTCTGCCCGTGGAAAATGGAGCTTGGGAAGTCATGACCTCCTTTTTTGGCTGCGATGGCCTCCTGCAACTCTCTGCCAGGGAAAATGGAGCTTGAGAGGGCCTCTTGCATCCCTTCTGATCTCCATTTTTTGCTGGCAGATGCACCACGGGCCAGTTCTTTGCTGTTTTCAGGGCATCCCTGCAGGCCGGATTTGGCCCCCGGACCTTGAGTTTGACACCCCTGATGCAAGTCCTTGGTGCTCTTTTAATTTGGTTGCTTACCTGCAGATGTTCATTACCCTACTAAGTAGTGTTAGACAAGCATGCTCTCAGGTTCAGCTTCTGGTCGCTCACTTGTACAATCACAGGCCTAGAAAATTGCCACACTCAATCCCAAATCAACTAAACACTGAAGCACAATCTATTCTTTAAAATAAACAGACACCCAGTAAATTTAAAATAACAGCCCTGTTTTACAGCAATGATGGTTCTTACGTTATCAGCATATCAAAAATTCGGAAAATGCCCAACTTGACTCTGCTGGTATGTCACATACACACAGACAAAAGAGAAACAATAACAAATATTTGCTTTGGATAGTCAGATGCGTGGCACATAAAATAAATACATTAATTGTAAGCATGTTTCAGTTTGTGTCTCAGAAAATTTTTTGCTTCCAGTCACATAAGGCTTTTGGAAACTTCAGAGAATGGTCTGTGTTTCCGAAAAGAGTGGGAAAACTCACCCCATTCTTGCATGCTTTTTGGTGGTTCCAGAGGCCACATGAGAAGAAGGCCCTCTTGTGCGACTTCCAGAGGCTTTAGGGACCACATGACAGTACACCACATTCTCACATGACCTGTCAATGTGCCATCAAAAATGACATGGCATGTGTCATAGGTTCACCAACATTGTTTTAGACCAGTGGTGGGATTCAAATTTTTTTACTACCGGTTCTGTGGGCGTGGCTTCGTGGGTGTGGCAGGGGGAAGGTTACTGCAAAATCCCCATTCCCACCCCACTCCTGGGGGAAGGTTACTGCAAAATCCCATTCCCTCCCCACCCCACTAACCTGCTTTCCAGCTCTGTTCTCCTGTGTAGGGTAACCAAAGAAAACCCAGCCGATCAATTGGGACTCGGGAGGCAGAGAATAGATGGGAGCAGGGCCATTCAGAGGTGGTATTTGCCAGTTCTCCGAACTACTGAAAATTTCCACTACCGGTTCTCCAGAACTGGTCAGAACCTGCTGAATACCACTTCTGTTTTAGACTATCATAAAGCATTTGTAACAATAGGATGCTTAGATATTAGTCTTGTCATAAATTAAGGATAAAAGTTTCATGGATCGGTAAGAAGAAATGGCAATTTCATGGAAACTGAATGAATGGTTTATTTTGTTGCAGTGAAAGAACCAGAATCAGACAATCTAAAGAAGGCAAAGTAAGATAATGATTTTTTTTTAATTTTTAAAAAAGATATATTGCATGGTTTTGCTTTGATGTATTGAAAAAAGATGTTACAAGATTCTTTCGGTTTTCCGAAAGAAACATTTTAAAATTCTGGTTCAGGTTTGTATGGCATGTTTTTGTTTTTAAATAAATTGGGATAGGCCTAGAATTTCCCATTTAACATTATTTTTTAATGAATATGCATAAAATTGAATACTTTATATAGACATCTAAGGTTATTAATAATGCTTACATAAAAATGGAATGGTGTCAGCAGTGGAAAAGAAATGTGAAAAAGATATAAATATTTTTTTAAAAAATAGAAATAGTAATCAGAAGTTTAGAGGTAATTGTTTAATCTTTTTGTGATGTTTTAGAAGTTTGATATTTTTGTTATATTAATCAGATTTAAAATTATATGTTTTACTACTGACATATAGGCCAAATTCCAATTTTAAAATAAGTTTTTATGACAAAACTAACAAGAATTGAAATGCTAGTGCATCTTTATTAAAAAGTGATATTACCGGTGAATGAGGCTACTGCAATTCCTAACATCCTGATTCCTTTAGCTTGTGAATATTTGAAATTTTACTGTGTCTTTTATCTGTCTTGAGCTGGGAATAATCCTATTCACTGCAGCATGTAAGCATTTAAAAGCAGAAGAGTCTGTAGCCTTATTTCGTTATTTTCCTTTAGAAAATTTTATTATTAAAAACTATACTCTGGTCATCATTATCAAGTTTTCCACTGATCACGCTATAAAAAAGTTCAAACCAAAACAATAATTAAATGAACAATATATGCGTCATAGCAGAATCGCAAAGCTTCAGAGAAACACAAAATATAAATATGTAAAATATAAATGTTTTGTCTGCTTCCAGAAAGATAGACAAACAGGGTGCTAAGTATCCTTTCTGGGTAGAGCGTTTTTGCTATTGTTAGTGTATCACACCACAACATGTGGTTTCATCTGGAGCAGAACCTCTGAAGATGACCACAGAGAAAATGTAGGATCATATGGAAAGAGGCAGTTTTTGTCTTGATTAAAAGGCATTTCAGTCTTGAGTGCTGTACAGAATTATAAACCTATATTCTGTGAAAGTGCTATAAATCAAAGTTTCTTCAATTATTGCTAGCTGGTATTTGGGCAGTTCTGTAAGATAATTCTGTAAGATATGATAGTAGTACTCCAATATCTCAGTGGCTGCCACAAAGAAGAGGGAGTCAAGCTGTTCTCCAAAGCACCTGAAGGCAGGACAAGAAGCAATGGGTGGAAATTAATCAAGGAGAGAAGCAACCTAGAACTAAGGAGAAATTTTTTGACAGTTAGAACAATTAGTCAGTGGAACAACTTGCCTCCAGAAGTTGTGAATGCTCCAACATTGGAAATTTTTAAAAAGATGTTGGATAACCATTTGTCTGAACTGGTGTAGAGTTTCCTGCCTAGGTAGCGGGTTGGACTAGAAGACCTCCAAGGCCCCTTCCAACTCTGTTATTCTATCGTAAGTGCTTGAGATGTGTGGACTGTGTAGTATTTTGCTTCTGCATTTTTAACTGCAATTATACACAATTGTTCTAGCACCAATGTTTATTTGTAGTATCAGTAATAGTACTCACATTTTTTTCAGTAAAAAGTTGGGTTCTGCATCAAGATAAACTAGCCTCATTAATTTTACCCAACTTATCTTGCATATCTCTAAGTTTATTAATAATGAAAGGAATAGCAGCTTCTATTCTGGTGTTTGAAAGTCAGCAGACATTGTCTGCTTATTTAAAGTGTCAATTCACAACAAGAAGCAATAGAAATTGGTTTACTCATCAACGTCGACAGGTTTGTACTGAAGTGCAAGGACAATTAGTGTAAACTAATTCTGATTCTGAATTCTGCATGCTTTTGGTTTGTTGTGTAGAATGGATTGAGATGCAGACTTCCTTCCTCTTATCTGTCTTCTTCTGTTACTTCTTCTCTGCAGGGAAAAGATCCCCCTCCACATCATAGGCCCTAGATACACAAAATTACGTGACTGGCACCATGGCGTTTCAGCCCGTGTCCTTAACGTCCAATGATTTGCCAAGTCCTAAAATTTGAATGAGTCCTTTTCTTCCAAATGCTTTTGCAAAGAAAGAAATGACAAACAAACCAGCCCAGCTTTGAGAAAGTCTAGCCTTTTATCTATCATTTTTTTTCTCTTTAAAAAAATTTCCCTATTTGTGTATTAAGAATGAGATGAACCTGTTTCTGCTTCTACAAAGCCAGCATCTCTGTAAAAACCACCATGCAGATAACAGGTGGCATAGAAAATTCATACTGACTTGAAAAAAGTAGGGTGCCTTTTCTGGCAGGGAACCTGGCTCTTATTTGAAAAAAGGTGCTATGTGCTAAGATACAGAGAAAGTTACAGTAATGCCTACGTTGGAAAACATGGGTAATAAACTATTTAAGTGTCATTGTGTACTTCCGATACGGCTCTGGTTCGATTCAGTAAAATCAATGTTTGTTTCTGGTGTTGGATATATTTAATGGCTGAATGTAAATGTTTTCAAAGAGGTAATGGAAGAAGAGGGTTTTTTTATGTTAGTTTATGGGTCTTAGCAATAGTTGCGTTATACAGCTCATGTTCTACTTAAGAAAAATGTTCTGAAATCATCTGAAGTCTTCCAGACACAGATCAAAGTAAAAATTATATTGTAGAAGAAGCCATGTAAAACAGCAAAAGAAAATAGTATGACCTAAGGGAATATAGGTTTTATTTATTGTGAAGTGGGTTGTTTGGATCTTCTTATTAATTTTTGATCATACATATTAATTTGTAATATAATGTATTATAGCAGATGCATACTTATCTAATTTATGCTATGTGGGGCTCGAAATGACTGAATAAATATCGCATTTAATTTACTTTCTCTTTTTTCTTTATATCCATTCAAAGTTCTCATGTGTAGGTACCAAACATACATTTAATTGAAAACATTACTGGAAAAGGAAACGATAGGAAGGGGATGCTGGACAGTGAATACAAACAAAGGATGCATTTCTTTGGTTCATTTTTATTTTTTAACATTTAAAAAGAGCTCCCATCATTCTTACAAGAACTACAGGGACAAATTCTTTGTTTACATTCCTGTGTGTAACAAACTCAGATATAACCTTTGAGGGGAAATGCCTCAAACATGAACATATTCTACATAGAATTTTCTTCTGATGTTTATTTTGTCTTTTATGATAGCAGTTGTCACTTTTTATTTGTTGACACTTTAGGGAAAGTCAAACAGAGAACGGAGATCTAAGGTAACTTAATTTTTTAACATTAATAGCACATGTGCACAAAAATTACCAAATACAGTGGCAGTGGTACTCATCACGCGGTTGAGTTCAGAACACCAATGCCTGATACCTTCTTCTTAAAGTCTGTACTATACCAGTTCTTTACAAGACAGTAAATTAGTTAACTGATGCTTCATTCTTTAACTCATAGAATTGCTAAGCTTACAATATAATAAAACCTCACTTCTGTTTACAATGCATGTGCACCAAATTAGTCTTCAGTGAGTACACAAAATAGTGCAATGTGACACCTTGATTGTCTAATTGTCCCACCTGCTTGTGGAACTGTTGTGTAAAATGCTGTTGTGGCTTCTATTTAACAGTTGTGGTGATTTTTGCTACAACACATCCGAGATGTCAAGATTTTTACTCATGCTAAGAGTACATTTTTGTAATTATATGTTTAATTATAGGCTGCATATAATTAAGCCTGTATCTTTACCCAACCTTATCTTTAGTTGATATTAGTGTTCTACAGTAGCATTGGATCAAAAGCAAAGTAAGTCCATTATATTATGTTATAGTGTAGGTCCAGTACATATACATTAAAAAGCTTCTAGTTGGTATCTAATTTCTCTCTTAATTTACTATATAGGTTAACGTATATCTCCCCATCTGCATTATGGGAGTGATGATGCTATAGCGTAAAGGAATGTCCAAGTGAACATTGAACACTTGAACATGCATTATTGTATCATCATACACTATGGGACGAACCCTATCGTGTTTCTCCAACAATACGGCCTCCCCCAATAGGAAGTCCCAGCATGCTTTATAGGCATAAAATCAAATTAAGCCCCTCCCCCCAAATTAAGGCCCATATTAAACATGCGAAATGGGGGGGAATGGTGGGGCCGTTAGGAAGTACTTTTGTTGCATACCCGGATACGGTGCTGCCTGCGTTGACCTCGGCGTTGGTGGGGCACTTCGTATCGGGAGACCTTCTGCCATTGCTTTCCCTTCTCCCCGTGCTACCGCGGCATTTAAAGCAATGCCGCAGCGTTTGGCGCAGCCATGCACGGCCAGCCAGGGCTCCTCCCTGCAACCGGAGCCCGGCAGAGACACTCTGCTTCAGGTGCTCCTGTCGCTGCCTTCCCTTTGCCTTCGAAGGCAAAGCCAACCTTGGCAACTTTAAGACTTGTGGACTTCAACTCCCAGAGCAAAGCTAGCTGAGGAACTCTGGGAGTTGAAGTCCACAAGTCTTAAAGTTGCCAAGATTGGAGACCCCTGATCTAAGGTAAAGTGGAACCTCTGGTCACAAACGTTTCTGACCACAACCAAAGCAGGTTCCGATCAAAAAATCCACAAAATTTTTGAATTGGTCACGATTCAAAAATCGGGTGGCAATCAATCATGTCCGTGGCCAATTCCCTTTCTGCAGCGATTTCCCCGTCTTCACCATTTATTGGTCTCACTTCCGGTCACGACCAAAGTTACGGAATGAATTATAGTCATGACCGGAGATTCCACTGTATATTTTAATGGTACAGTGAACAGTTTTAAAATCCACACCCATGGGTCTTAGAAGTGTCCTAGTTAATTTTTGATATTTGAATCAACATTTCAAATTTATGGGAGTTTGTATTAGTTTTACCACCTTCAATTTTGGACTATATTGAACTTCACAGAAGTTAAAAAACACTTAATCTTTCTTCTGATAGAGC